TACCACTTTTGGCCTTTTCTGTTTTTGTGGTACTAAGATATGGAACCCAGAGCTTCATCTGTGCTGGAAAAGCACTCTACTACTGAGCCACATTCCCAGCCCAAAATTACCTTTTTCCTCCCCTCGCTCCGGCCGCTGCGAGCCAGTCGGGCGTGCTGCGAGCGCTCGCCGATCGTCCGGGCCGGCGGCTGTGGCGCCGCGAGGGTAGGTGGGATCGTGGCGGAATTCCCTGTGCGGAGGCCGGAGCGAGAGCGCGTGATGGCGGCTGCGGTGGCGGCGGCATCCGGTGCCTGCGCCGTGGCGGCGAGGTGAGAGGCCGCCTCTTCTCCGCGACTGAGGAGGCCACAGCTGGCCGCCCGCCCTCCGCGCGGGCCGCGGCTCCGGCATGGCCGGGATCATTAAGAAGCAGATCCTGAAGCACCTGTCCCGGTGAGAGCGCCCGCGCCGCCCCGCCCCGCCCCGGCCCCGCTCCCTTCCTGACCCCCGCAACCCACCTCCCGCCGGAGCGGGGCTCCGTGGTTCCCCTTGTCCCCCTGCCTGACCCACCCCAACTCGAGCTGGGACAGCCCCCGCCCCACGCCCGCCGGCGCCGACCGTTGTCACCGCTCCGTTTCACCCTCGCCCTGGGCCCGCGGGGTCGGGGCGCTCGCGCCGGAGCCCCGTCTCCTCCCACCCCTCAGCCCGGGCCCCTTCCCTCCCGTGCCTCCCAGAGCTCGGAGCGGGTCACCCCATCCGGCCCCCTCGGCCTCCTCGGCCTCTGGACGCGCCTCCCGCCTCTTAACCCGCCCCACCGCCTTCCCGGAGCCTTTATCCCCCAGTGGCTTCTGAACCCCGTCACCCAGGCCTCCGTCCCTCTCCGGAAGGCGCCCTCCCCACCCCCCTTCCCAATGCAGACACTGGCTTTTTGCTTCCCAGAGCTTCCCTCTCCAGTCTGTCCGTGTGTGTGTATGTGTGTGTGTGTGTCTGTCTGTCGTGGGCGGGGGCTTGAACTCCAGAGCTTCCCTCTCCTCTTCAGTCTGTCCCTGTGTGTGTGTGTGTGTGTGTGTGGTGGTCGGGGGCTTGAACTCTGGGGTGGGCGCTGTCCCTCAGCTCTTCAGCTCAAGGCTGGTGCTGTACCATTTGAGCCACAGCGCCACTTTCGGCTTTTTCTGTTTATGTGGTGCTGAGGAATTGAACCCAGGGCCTTGTGCACGCGAGGCAAGCGCTCTACCACTGAGCCACTTTCCCAGCCCCTATCCCTGTTGTATTACCCTTGAAAAGATGTAAACCCTGCACCCAGGCCCTTTCTCTCCTTCAAGCTGCTTTCTCCCTCCTAATTAGAGAAAGGTCATGAGAGTTGGGGATAAAGTTTCAGCAACCTTCCCATTAAGAAGACGTTTTCTTTTTTTTCTGTCAGCCTGGTTTGAAAAGTACTATCAGTGTTTGTCTACTTCTGCTTTGTTATGTCTTGCTATTTTGCTCAATATGTTAGCAGGACTTGAGTGGCTGGGCTGGCAAGACAGTTTCAGCTATGAATGAATGACTGATCTTACGATCGCAACTTGTCAGAACTGGTGGCCAAAAAATTTGGTAGCTAGTTTTTTACTTAGTTTTGTGCTCCTCATTCCAGAGGTCAGAATTGGTGGTAATAGTTGATAATTTAGCCAGCCTTTGTTGCTCTACAATGGTCATTGAGTTTTCAGGATGTAGGGGGTCAGGGAAGAGGCCAGTCAGCATGGAACACTCAGGCCTTGTACTCCTGTAAATTTCCAGGTCTTTCCATTGCCCCATAAGGCGCACGTGTGTGTGTGTGTGTGTGTGTGTCCGTCCTTGCCACTGTGTCTCTTTTTTTCTGGATGGCCCTTCTGGTATACTTTGATGTTAGGCTTTAATTTTCAACTTGATCCAGATACATTTTTGGTTAATTACAATCTTATAGAGAAAAAGCATATTGAAAACTAGAGCTGGAGAGTAGCTTTCAATCTTTTATCAGAATAACCTAATGTGTGTTCTTTCAGGTAGAGTCAATCCAGGTGTTTTAAGTAAATATTTGAAATTAAGAATAAAGATTGCAGACTAGCCCCGGGCACCAGTGGCTCAGGCCTGTAAAAAAATCTTCTTACATGGGAGGCTGAGATCTGAGGATCATGGTTGGAAGCCAGCCCAGGCAGAAGAGTCCCTGTGAGACACTTATCTCCAGTTAACCACTCAAAAACTAGAAGTAGCACGGTGGCTCAAGTGGTAGAGTGATAGCCTTGAGGACAAAGAGGCTCAGGGACAGTACCCAGGCCCCGAGTTCAAGCTGTACAACTGACAGGAAAAAAACAAACAACAGCAACAAAAAACCCTACAATTGCAGGACTGGGACCTAAGACCAGAGGAAAACTTTAATAATTTGAATAAACATCTGTTATTTTTCTTGGTATCAGTCCTAGGGCTTGAACTGAGCCTGGGCCCTAATCCTGAGGTTTTTTTTGCTCAAAGCTAGCACTCCACCATTTGAGCCACAGTTTTACTTCTGATGTTTTGGTGGTTAGTTGGAGATAGGAGTCTTACAAACTTTCCTGAGACAGCAGGCTTCAAACGGAGATCCTCATATCTCAGCCTCCTGAATATCAAGGATTACAGGCATAAGCCACTGGCACCTGGCTAGAAATGATCTCATTTTTATAACATTGATCTAAGATTCTAGGATTTTTCCCTTTTTTTTTTTTTT